ATATATATATATATATTTATATATAGTTTCTAATATACTAATATATATATAATAAAAAGTAATATAAAAAACTTTCGCATACAATTCGAAAATTTTAATTTTATTAAAATTCTTATAAGAAAAAGATACAAGCAAAGTATTTTTATTTTTAAAATTTAGAGAACTTAAACTAAGTTATTTTATTACATTTGTGTTTTTATATAATATACTAAATATAATATAGTGAATTAATATATACTAAATATAATATAGTGATTAATATATAATCATATTTAAGATGCAATCAAAAACATGTCAAATTGAATAAACAATTTTACGATAAAAAATATAAAATATAATATTTATTTCTGCATTGCACAAAAACGATCTAAATTTACTTTGAGCATTAAGCGTATCTTCTAAAAATATCTATCTAAAAATATCGCGAAATATATTAAAAATTTATTATGGTTTTATTTTGAGAAGTATTATTTACTAGTTAAATCTTTTTTTTTTAATTATATATTATATATTTTAAAAAATTTGTTGCGACACGAAATCAAAACTTTCAATCTTTTACATAAGATAAAGGTAAAATATTAAATAAAAATTACTAATATAAAATACAAATATTAGCATACTATAAAATTATAATATTTTACAATTTTTGAATATCACTAACATTTTAAGAAAAAAATATAACATTTTAAATTATTATTTGAATAATATAATATTTTAATAATATAAAATATTATATATATATTCAAATAATGAAAAATATGCTTCAATATATAACAATAATAAAATTTTTGTTTAAAATATAATATATATGAATAGTAGTAGTCTTTTATAAAAATATCCTTATGAGAGCAATTAATGACAAAAATTAAAGCACAACCAAGCACAACCAGGTTTTCATTTTTGTTTTATATTATACTCTGTGCTAAAATTCTGTTAAAAAGTATGTCGTATAAAATATAACAATTTTTTAACATACTCTATAATTAGTATAAAAACAAATGCTTAATACAATAATCATAAAATTATAAATGTATTTTCTAATAAATACATTATGTTTTTAATCATATTATTTCATATTATTAAAAATATATGAAATATATGAAATTTGATATTTTAACTTTTTATATGAAATGTATAGTATGTTGTACTTTAAATCTAATATAGCTAAATATTTTAAAAATATTGGCTCTTATAACAGAGTAAACATTATTATGCAATTAGCATTATTTTATTTTCTTTATAGATTCTTAGATTTAAATAAGAATATTAATCGCAATTAAATATTAGCAAAATCTTAATATATATTTTTGTAACATTTTAAACAAATTATTTATTTTTAATTGAATAATTTTAAATGCACTGTAATTCTGATAATCCAAAAACATAAATTTTATTTACAAATTTAATAATTTTTTATAATATAATTGATAATATTTAGGATTTTGTTTTATTAGGATATTGTTTTTAAAATTCGCAATCAAGACTAGAGCTATTTTATCATAATATAAAATATTCGTTTAAAAAAACAATAATATTAATTTATCAAGTAAAAATGCATTTATATATAATATAACTAAAAAAGCAAGAAATTATTGAATTTGCAAATAATTTTTTGATTTAGTTTTTTTCTTGCTCTCTATTTATAAATGATTTGCTTGTTTTGACAATGCATGTCTATATATTTTTATA